TAGGTTTCCATCCCAACTTTATTAGTGACTACCTCTGTGGACTTGAAAACATTATCTTACCTATCTGGGTCTTCCTTTACTAACCTATAAAATAAGAGGGTTGACTCAGGGATAATGAGAAGACTGGGATTGAGGAGTGGGGGAGGAAGGGAGCCGTACAGTGGATGATAGCTGTTTTCATGTTTTAAAGGGCTGCATGGAAGAGGGATTACACTTATTTCTGTCTGCAGCAGTGGGTAAAAGATGAAAAATGTAGGCTCCAAGTAAGGAAAAACTTCCTAATAGCCACGTGATATAGTGAGATCTCCTCCTGTAGAGGTCTCCTCACAGCTGAGGCTAGGTAACCACTTGTGAAATCATCTATCCAACACCCTCATTTGAAAGATAAAGCAACTGAACGCCAAAGAAAGGAAGTGACTTTCCTGAAGTCATACAATAGCAATTAACGTAGTCTGGATCTGAACCCAGATCCTCCGAGTCTAAAAACCCAATGTCCTTCTCACTACAAGTAGGAGAGAAGTATTATTGCTAGCTCCTACTTCAGCCTACTCCTATTGGTTGCCTTAATAAGCAGTGCTTTGTGGTACTTGGGACTTAAATGAGATGCCCCCATTCAAGCAGAGTGGGTTAGGCATAGACTAAGCCTATTAATCAATTGATAGTATAAACAAGTGGGGCAGGTAGGTGAATCAGTATGTAAAGTGTCTGGCTCGGAGTCAAGAAGACCTATCTTCCTTAATTCAAATCTGGTCTCAGATACTTCCTACCTGTATGACCCTGGGCAAGTCACTTAACCCTATTTGCCACAATTTCCTCGTCTCTAAAATGAGCTGGAGAAAGAAATGGCAAATCACTCCAGTATCTCTGCCAAGAAGACTCCAAAAGGGGTCATGAAAAGTCAGACAATACTGAACAACAACAGTAAAAGTAAGGCCAGATCATAAAGAGGTAAGGAAATTGCTAAATGTATGTGGCCAGAAAGATCAGCAAAAGAAACATTGGGGTGGTTCAAGGAAATCATCGGGTGAGGACGTTTAGATTCTGTCTACTCGTACAAAGATAAGTAGAGGAGTGAGGCAATTATCTGACATTCATGTAAAAATATAGATGTAGTAGGGGTGATAGAAAGAGTAGTTAGGTTTACATCCCAGCTCTGCAGCTCACTACCTGTGTGACCTTGGATAAGTCACAACCTCTCTGGGCCTACTTCATCTTTAAAATAAAATGGCTAAACTAGATGACTTTTTTTTAAACAGCTGGAGCTAAGTGACTTGACCAGGACCACACAGCTAATAAGTATAAGGCTGAATTTGAACTCATGTCCTTCTGACTCCAGGGCTGTTGCCCTACCTACTGTGCCATCTAGCTGCCCCAAACTAGATGACTTCTAAGATCCCTTCTATGTGTATATCTATGATTCTGTGATCCTAGTTCAATTCAATTTAATAATAAGCATTTGTGTGAAAGTCACTAACTTAGACAATGGAAATACAAAAATGAACAACAATACTATCCCTGCCCTCAATGAGCTTAAAATCTAATAGGGAAACAGTTATCTGGAAATTCCCAGATCATTAATGTCAAATATTTTTATTTTTGCTAAATTAGTGCCTAGAAAACAAGAGAGTCTTGTCCCAGATTGCCACTGAAACAGGTGATTCTGCCTAAGTTTTCCCTCCTAAGCAATGGAGAAGCAACAGATTCCCAGGATCTCAGCGTTTGTACAAAACTGGCCTTATGTGCCTAAATTAGGGATCATCATTCTTGCATTAGGGAGAAATGATAGACTTATTTGTGAGCACGTTGCCAATGGGTATCCTGAGACAGAATTCTAATGCAGGGCTCCTGATTCCAGTGTTCTTTCTACTCCACCGTGCTGCTTTTTTTCTCTTCTCAGGAAAGTAAATCAATAAAACAGCCAGATTTGCTTATATGGTTACTTGATCCCCGGTTCTTTTTCTGCCACTTTTTCTAACTATAGCTCCACCAGCCTTCAGTGGGTGGGGACCTCTGAAGTGAATAAGCGACCACAGCAGCTGATGGAGAAACCAGCTCTCAGTGACAATCTGGGAAATACAGGCTGAGCCAGGGTAATCCAAGCCAAATCACAGCTGGGCCCTCAATGGGAAATTCCATCTGCTGGCTGAGATAGCAGCTGGGAAACAAGGAGTATCCCCGCTCCCCAGAGCTTTTCCTCTTAGGCCAGCACTCATCCTAACAGAGGATGCCCTCTGCAGAATGGGCCATAGTACCAGGAAATGCAGGAAGCAGGGAAGTTCCCTTTTTACCCTAGACACGTACATACAAGCAAACTTCTGAGTACACACACAGCTCTCTTCTGGGAAGCTTCATTCCTTTCTCAAAAATGACAGCATCATAAACACATACTTTTTAGCTTACTGTTGTAACAATTACTTCTGCCACTGGTTCTCTCCATCTAATTACTTAATTGGGGAAATAAGTAGCTGATAAAATCCCAAGCAGGACTTTTAAAAGCCTTGTATTTCAACTGACCAGAATACAACAGTGCTCAAGAGGACCCCAAGGTGATTTTCAACAGTTCATGTTTACCATATGGCAATATCTATAGTTTTGTTTGTGGAATGCATTAATTCTTTACTCTTTTTTTTTAAAGACAGGTCACCTCATTGGTGTTACATCAAATGTAGAGTATTAGTCATAGGATTGAAGATCTAGAAGGAACCCCAGAGAAAAATCCCCTCATTTTACTGATGAGGAAACTGAGGCCCAGAGATGGCTAATTATTTGCCCAAATCCATTTAGGTACTAGTCAGAATTTGAATTCAGATTCTCTCATTCTAAAGCCAGTGCTCTTTCCACTGTACTATTTAGTTTTATTTTTTATGGTGAGAGTTGTTTCGGTTTTCTTAAAGTGGCAAATGGAAAGAAGTGAGGTAGGGATCCCACAGAAAGTATCTTTAGACAAAACTCACAGTATAACGCATTTCTTCCCTACACCATTCAATCAACTGTATGTAAGGGAGTAATTCTTAGATTCATTCACTCAGAAATGATTTGTTAAGATTATTCATTGTTAGGGGCAGCTAGGTGGCTCAGTGGATAGAGTACCGGCCCTGGATTCAGGAGGACCTGAGTTCAAATCCAGTCTCAGACACATAACACTTACTAGCTGTGTGACCCTGGGCAAGTCACTTAACCCCATTGCCTAGCCAAAAAAAAAAAACCATTATTCATTGTTAACTTGTTGATGAGTATTATTCGTTTTTTAAGATTAATGATTTATTAAGTGCCAAGCACTGTATTAACACCAAGAATACAAAGACAAAATCATAAATCTCTGTCCTCAAGGAGTTTCTATTCTACTGGGTGAAAACAAATAAATATAAAATTCAAACAAAGTAATATTTGGGAGAAGACACTAATAACTGAGGAAATAAGGAAAGGTTTTGTGGAATACAGCACGATGTCCAAATACTGATCTTTGGAGGAGCCGATCCTGAGAAGCAGAGAGGGGAAGGGGGCATTCAAAGAATGGAATGCTTCAAATCCTGTTTGAAGAGTTAAGTACAGCTGGCCAATAAAGACATAGGGAACTTGTCGTTATGAGTTATAAAGACAGGAAAAAGAATGATGATGGCTCAAAGAACTGCACTCATAACATTCTGTATTTACAAAGCTTTATCTCTAGAGAAGCAGAAAATACCTCATGGATGATCATAGCTATAAGGGGCCTTGGAGATCAGCTAGCTAACCCCATCATGTTACAAATGAGGAAACTGAGGCCCAGAGATGTTTAAGTCACATGCTCAAGGTCACCCAACTACTTAGTAGACTCACAGATAGATCTCAAGCTGGAAGGGACCTCAGATGCCATGTAGTCAAACCTCGTTTTATAGATAAGGAAACTGAGGCCCAGAGAAATGAAGTGACCTGTCCAATGTCATAGAGCTATTAAGTGTCACAGGTGGGATATGAACCCAGGTGGGGACAGAATCAGGATAAAAACTGTACACTGGAAAGAATACTGACTCTGGAGTCAGAGGACCTGTGTTCAAATCCTGCTTCTGACCTTTTTAAGCATCACCAATCTCCATTTCACAGTTGGGAGCAATGAAAAAGTCAAAGATCACCAGAAGACACCTAGCGTTAGGGACAGTTGTCCCTTGTAGGCCATCTCTGACCCAGAATGCTGGCTACCCCCTAGAACATGTATCTTACTCTGTTCCTCCATCCTTCCCCACCTCCACTGTGGGAATACCTGAAATAAAATCCAGGAGCCCTGTCAGCCAGACTATAGATTCATGAACTAGAAGAGACATTAAAAACCATCAAGTCTAAACCCTCCATTTTACACAGTGGTAAACCAAGGCCCCAAAAGGTGAATGATTTGTCCAAGATCACCCAAGGAATGAACAGCAGTTAGGATTAAACTTGGGTCCTTTGACAGAAAAATAAAGACAATCAGAAGCTTGCCTAAAGCAAATAAATCCCAACAGAAATCAAGCCATTGGGCCTCATTTTCCTCAGCTATAAAATGAGAGACTTGGATTAAATGATCTCTGAGATTCCTTCCAGCTCTTAACATTGAATTTTCCTAATCATTGAAGAGCAGGAAATAATCATATGGAGCTAGAAGAGATAATTCCACGACTGATGATGTTTTCACTTTGTTTCTAAACTGGGATTGGTGGGTCAGAGGGTCCTTGGCAGAGGTATGCTTATAAACGTTTAACAACCAGCTCTTGGGGTGGGATGTGGGGTGTACTTACAACATACTTTTAAGTTTAATCTGCATTATTAATATTTTTTCCATCACTTTCTTAAGTCTAGACCATCAACAAAACAATAAACCAAGCCCTGAGTTGCCAATTTCCAAGGTACACATGCTTACATCAACAATTTAACTGTGTGAGTTAGATCCAGCATACTCCCAGTTCTAGGGCGTGACAAAGCGCTTTTTCTCAGGAAAGAGTGAGTTATGAAACTTGTGGGCTTTTTTTTTTTACTCTTTTTTTCAGGTACTGGCTGACAAACAAAGTACACATCAAAAGACCCACCACAGGACTGCTGATGTATACTCTGGCCACACGCTTTTGCAACACCATCTACCTCTATGGCTTTTGGCCCTTTCCACGAGATCAGAATCAGAACCCTGTCAAGTATCACTATTATGACAGCCTTAAATATGGCTATACATCCCAGGCCAGCCCCCATACCATGCCCTTGGAGTTTAAAGCCCTAAAGACCTTGCACCAACAGGGGGCTTTGAAACTGACCGTTGGTGAGTGTGATGGAGCCACGTAAAATGGTGGCCAAAGAAGATTCCGTGGCTCACGTTTCCTGCAGGCTACACCACGGGCAGATGGGGGTCGGGAGGCAAAAACAATAGGACGAGCAGAGGCTAGTGGTTTTCTTTGTTAAAGTGTAAAACAGTGACAAGAATATATATACCTGCATATATATATTGACCTGAGTATTATAACTATGTGGTGTTCATCCAGAGTATGGCAGACAAGTTACAGGAAGAAGGTGCTGAGGACTTACCCGATTTGGAGACACCATCTTTGGGAGTGAGAGGATTGGACTCAAAAGGAAATCTATTCCAGCACTGGATATGTCATAGTCTCCTGGGTTGAAGGATTCTGGGGACTGATGGATGAATGCTAAGGCTAATTTGTTTTCAGCTGCTCTGTGTCTCTGAGAAAAGTGGATTCTGGGTGACCCAGAACCTAGAGGTTGGCAACTGGGTTTTTAGTGTTAAGAATGATACTGTTCAAGAAAAAGGGGGAAGGGATGGGGGCTCAACAGAAAAGTGGAGCAAGAAACCGAGAAGCACAGGTTGGGGCATGTTAGTGGATGGCCTTGGTTTATTCACTCTAGGTGAATTGTCTAGGAGACAAGCTCATGTCCCATCACTGTGTTCCAGATGGGACACTGTTTCAGTTCATAAAACAACCAGCGATGGACTTTGGCTTTCTAGCTTACAAAATCATGATGCCAGCCTGAATACCACTGCTGGCTGAAGCAGAGAAAAAAAAGATGACCCTGAAAGTACTCTGATCATTCAAATCAGATCAATTCTTGTATACAAAAAAAAAAAACCCATCTGAGGTGTTCAGAGCCACACTTGGGGCAAAGACAGAAGAGTGTCAAACAATGCTTAGCCTTTTCTAAATGTACTTTGGAGTGGCAAAGAGAGAGAAGCCCTGGGGTTTAGGAGAAGTGGAGGAAGAGAAGGAATCACAGACCTAAAGGTGGTATTGAGGGTAAGAGAAGGGATATTATAATCTGACCTCATACCAATCAAAGTCACCTTTTAAGTCTCTTTCCCAAGGGTTAACTCACCTTCCTTCCTGTTAAAATATAAGGTCAGGGATTGGACTGAAAGCTACCACAGCAATGAAATCCAAAGCCAAGGCTTGAAAGGGCACTGCGAAGATAAATGTCATCATGGTAAAATATATAAGATTGCCTTCCCTCACTGCGCACAAAGCCCCAGAGTGTGAAACCTGAAAGAATTTTAGACATCCAGTTTCATTTCTCAGCACCAACACCGTTTGTGTTCTGCATCTCACTCTGTGTGGTCAAAGCAACCAGACTGCTCAGTTTCAACGTCACTTTCTTGTCAGTTTCTTGTCCTGATTGTCAGGTGGTGTAGCTTGGCTCTCTCATTTAGCTTTCTGACTCTGCAAGGAGAGGTTTAAATCCTCCCTTCTCTCCTCCCGCCCCCCACAAGTGATGCAATTATTTCGGGATTTTGTGAAATTTGACTTGTTCCTACTAAGGTTTGTATAATCTTTCCTTTTTGTAAAGCCAACTATAGGATGCAAACCACTGGGCATAGCATCCTGGGGAAACATGGGCTGAGAACCAGTCACTTAAGAGTTGGAATCCTGGGTCATGGTTAGAGATGGATACTGTGTATGGGGCATGGGCTGTCTTGATTTGATTGCTGTATTACCTTTCTGATTAATAATCATGTTTTAAGACATATTTTGAAGTTAAGTGAAAAACCATTTCTTGAAGGGAGTTGAGAAAAGAAATCAAGATCTGCTTCTAAACATATGAGATTAGACACAATTAATAAATAGCAATTCAGGACAAGACATTTGCTCCAGATTAATGGTTGGTTGAATAGTAGCTGGAAGCTACAGAAGGTTGCCCCTAAGCCATTAACCCAGGACAAAATACTCCCCAGGATAAGGCAGTGATTGCTACTATAAATTGTTTTGTTCTTTGTAGTATTGTTCTAGATTTTAGATTTTTAGTTTTCATCATGAAATGAAAATTTTAAGATTCCTTAGAGGAAGCAGAAGTAATTGCCATCATATTTTACACTTCTCTAGAGCCTTTCATCTTGAAGATCTCAAAGGGTTTTAGGAACATTTCATTTTCAAGGCTCACAGAGCCCAAGAGGGAGCAGGTAAGTGACATTGCCAGCATATTCTAGTTGGATTAACTCAAACACAAAGGACTCTGGTGGTTAACCCCAAAACTAACAAAGCAAGTCAGCAGCAAAGTCAGGAGAAGGACCTAGGAGCCCTGAATTCCAGCCTTATGTTCTAGCCAGAAGATACTATTCCTAATGGAGAGAATTCTTAAAGAAGTCCGCATTGTTTACTGACTTTTGTTTCTGGCCTATAATAGTTTAGGCTCATTAAACTGACATTAGTGGTAGTTGTATGCAGAAATAACTTGAACCTCTGATTTTTGCTTTTCATCCCGATGGCAAAGAACAGTTAGATCAGCTTCTTCCTGAGGGTCTGCTTTGGTGAACTGTACTTTTAGAGAAGTAGTAAGTGATTAAAAACCTGCCTTCATCTATTTCTTGAAAAGAGTTAGAAATATAAGATCAATTTTGTTGATTCTAGTATTGGCAAAATGCTTTGTGCAGCAGCAATGACTCCATTGGCTGTTTCTTCCTGTCCTTTTCCATCTGACCACCAAGACTTAACAGAAGCAGACAATAAGTTCTTACCTAATTGACTTATTTGATTAGATCATAATACTAATGAAGCCTGGGGTCATGGCTTCTATCCCTGTATGGACACGTTAGCTTTGGTATATGGTGTGGGGGAGGTTGGGGTGGGAGTGTAACAATAACAATAGCTCACATTTTTATAGCACTTTACAATCACAAAGCACTTTACCCCATAATCTCATCTGTTTCTTACAAGAACCCTGTGAGATAGGTAAATCATGTGAGCACTGAAGATCTTTGATTCCTAGCCCTGTCTGTGGCCTTTGTTAAGTGACAACCTCTCTGAGCCTCAGTTTCCTTATTTGTGAAATGGGGATCACACTTTCAAGCCCTATCTTATGGGAATTTTTTAAGGAAAATATTTGTAACCTGTGAATCACTATACAAATGTGAACCATTTTTACCATCCTTTTAAGATAGATGAGGAATTGGAGATTCAGATAGGTCACTTTGCCCAAGGTCACACCATTAATGTAAGTGTCAGACCCAAGGGCTAGCATTCAGGTCTTCTGACTCCAAACCCAGTATTCTTTCTACTACTACATTATGTTGCCTCCATAGACTTACCTTGGCCAACTATATTGCAGGCATGTTGGTGACAGGGGACTCATCCAGTGAGGGTAAGAAATAGTAATGGTCATCACATTTTCTTAGCACTTTATAATTCATTAATATAGCACATTCATCTATAGATTGTCACTAAGCTTCCCTCCAATTCTAAAATTCTGTGACTCCATGATTCTAGCTCAATTTTATTTGATCTTCACAACAATCCTGGAAGGCCAGGATTAGTCCACCTGTTTTAGAGATGAAGAAATCTAAGCTCAGAATGATTTGTCCAAAGTTACCCAGCAAGCACATGGAGGAGTTGGGCCTAGAAGTTAAGGTCTTCTGACTCCTACTCCTGCCCTCTTTCCACTACAATATAGAGACTAATCAATACAAAATATTCCTAATACCATAAAAAATTTATTTCAAGCATATGCTTTATTGGCAGTGATTCAGTAGCACCCTTGTCATATTCAAAGAACGTGAGTGTAAAGAACTCTCCATCCATCTGTATAATGAGAGAGAGAGAATATGCTCATGGAAGAGTATATGTTACCATGAACCTAGAGACGTATGCTTGTCTGCGTAAGTGAAATCTCCTGTTGGTTTGGTGGAGACGAAAGCTGTTTGCATTTTACCAGGCAGGGGTTGTTGGAGCTACAGTTCTTAATAAATCTTCTCTGCTGATTTTCCAATCGGGATAAGAAACCACCAGGCCAGATGGTACAGAGACCAACCTGCTCCAGGAGGCTGCTGTTTGAGAAATCTCTTCATGCCTAATTAAGGCTCTTCTTCCAAAATGAATGATACTGAAAAGTATATTGATGTTGATCAGATGGGAATCCAGACGTGTATGTTGCTATATGAGCATCCTTAATAGCATCCCCAATGACACCAGCAACAGCAGCCTACCCAAGCTGCTCCTGTGCTTCATTTTATCCCATCCCAAATCCAACCTCCAGTTCTAGCCTCAGCATCTCACCTTCTGTCTTCACTGCTCTTTCTATTCAGAGAGAGCAGAGGAAGCCCAGGCAGGAGTAGTCAGCATCTTGCCATCTCTCAAGAGATCCTATGATTCTGGGATGCCACTTCCTGCCAGAGTCCTGACCTAGATTAACTACTGTGAAATGCTTAGGTTGAGGTCAGTCTCTCTAGCCCGTTCCACCTTTGGAGCCCCCACCTTTGGATCCCCCCATCTTTGGACCCCCTACAAATCACAAAACAAAGGTAAAAAGAAATGCATTCCATTTTGGTGATTGAGCCAGCTGCCAAAGAAGAGAGAATGTCCATAAGAACTAAACTAAGACCATTTTTCAGTTTCCTTGGATTTTATGTGAGTAGAAACTGAATTTTGATCAGTGGCAGCCACAATGGTTAGGTCTGATTTGACCAAATGATTTCAAAGTATACTACTTTGAAATTTCAGAGTCCAAACCACACTATCTAACTAATAATACATTAAGCTAAATAACCACACACTCAAACTAATCTTCACCCTTTATCAGTGGGCAATCCTCCAAATTACCAAGGTGACAAAAATGGGGGTCCTTCTTGATCTTTCTTCATCTACCACTTGTTTATATTTTCTAGCAAAGTCATATTGGGGGAGGCTCAGCAAAAGTTGTGAGTAGCCATTTCTTCAATATTTCAATAGATCTGTGATCTTATCAATTTGGGTGCTCCTTCCAGGGGTGCAGATTTTTCCCCATCTACACCTTCTTGTTCTGTACAACTCTCGATCATGTTCTCCTACAAATCCTCTACAGGTTATCCACTTCTTGACATTACATGGACCAGAGAGAGGGGTGGAGGAAGGGAAGGAGAATAAGCATTTATTAAGTACTGACTATCAGGTACTGTGCTAAGTGCTTTACAAATACTATGTCATTTGATCCTCACAATAACCCTGTGAAATAGGTAATATTATCTCCATATTAAGGTTGAGAAAACTGAGGCAGATATGTTAAGTGACTTGCCCAGGGTCACACAGCTAAGAAGTATCTGAGGCTGGATTTGAACTCAGGTCTTCCTGACTCTAGGCCCAGTCATCTATCCACTGTGCCACCAGCTGCCTCCTAGGGATAGTATAGCAGCAGACCACATGAGATGTCCATTGTTTGTCTCTTGTACTTGGTAATGACTGGACTGTCTCCTTTTCCAAACATATATCTCTCTGCTGACATCCTTTTCCCTTCTGTCATGCATTGACTTGTTGATCTAAGCCTCTCTATTTCCCTTTGGAGGACTTACCACCTTAATTCCCTAAAGACTATGGCATTCCGCACCTTGCAGTCACAATCATCAGAAAAATATTGATATCAAATTGGGAAACAAGCTTGGTGTCACTATAAAGACGGTGCAAGTTCCCAAATTTCTGTCCATTACCTTTTCCTCAGGTTTAGATCCAGTTCATTATCCAGCCCCAAATCTTGTTTTAGAAAAATGGAATGTCTCCACGCCATTTCCAAATATTAAAGAGATGTCAGCAGATACTAAACATAGGCAACATTAAGTGAACTATATGGAAGATTTACTGTATCTTGCTGATGGGGTAAGTTAAATTTACCTTTGGAAGAGCTCTGAAGTCCCACCTTTTAACTTGGGTGGAATCATGAACTTTTGCTCTAAAAGGAGATACAAAAGTTGAGGTTGTTGGATAGAATCATTTGTACAGAAGAGTAGATCATTCAAGATGATGATATTAAAGGGAAGCTGGATGTTACAGAGGATGCAACAACTAGACAATTTTCTCAAGTTATTGTGCTTAAGAAAATGGCTTGAGAAAACCCAAGACTATTTTTTTTCGTATTGCAATGGAAGTGGCAGGATGACTGGTGAGAAACTAAGCTATTCTGATAACAACTCTGGGATTAGTCCTTTGATTGCTACAAGAAAAGAGGCACTGTGTAATTTTTAGAGAAAGAATACTAGACTGGGAATGGAATACCTACCTGGTTTCTAAATGAGCACTGAGACCCTTTCCAGCTTTAAAATCTATTATTTTTGACCTAGGTAGGAGTGTGTCTCTAACAAACCACTGGTCCACTTTGTGCTTGTTTTCTCATCTATAGAAGGGGGCTAATGACACCATGCCTACTTCATTGGGTTATCGGAAGGATTTATAAAATAAAATTGATGTAAAAGTACTCTAAAAAATACAGAAATAATGCTATCCAAAAGTGAATCTGGAACTACCTGTGGGAGGTGGAGGGGATCTTCATAGAATTTTGTGGTTTGGATTTCTTTTTTATCTCTAAGGCAAGGAATAGTGCACACTTCGGGACAGAGACAGGATTAAAAGGAGATCCCCAGAAAAAGAAAGATAACATGCAGAGAGGAGGGAGGTAACAGGATTTCTCCACCTGGCCATGCTGCTGCTCCATGGGGGGCTGAGGAGGATAATGGTTCCTTTTAATGTGCTTTCTTTTTGGTCCCAAACCATGTCATGTTTCCTTGCCTTGGGAAATGAGAGGGGAAAAAACACCTCCAAATCCTGGAAGTCTACATAGAAACATTACATGAGGTATTATCATAATGATTATCGTTATTTGACAGCAAGGTAAGCTACATGAAATAGTGGAAAGTAGTCTGTTATACCAAAAAAAAAAAAGGGTGAGGGGGGAGGTCTATGGCCCCTATTGTGAGAAGAAAAGAATCTGCTCAGAAAGTAAGCTCTACTATAAAGCATTAGTAACCCCTGTCTGAGGGCAGGGTCATTAACATTTTTTAAATGACTTATTGAAGTGTAGAAGATAACAACTCCCTGGAACCACTTTGCCTATAGCATAGTCTAGGAAACTATTTCCTACTATGCTTTTCCTCTATGTTACCAGATCCTCCAATAAAGGGAATCAACATACTAGTGTTAGGTAAACTAAGTTAGCCTATGTCTTGGAAGTTGGACAAAAAATAACAAAAGTCCAGGGAGGAGAGGGAGAACAGTAAGAGCAGGACAGATGACCAGTAGGGGGAAAACTTTCATCAGCATATCATATGAGGCCATGGCACACACGGGAGTAGTAAGCCTAGAGAAGAGAGAACTCTTTGGATTTGACTTTTCTTACCCTAGCACTAAGCAACCACCACCCACCCAATCCACCTACCAGGTATTATATACCATTAGTAGGATGGTCTTAAGTAGGCAGTATTTTTCACTAGTGGCAACTGGAACAAGAAAAGCCACAACCATCATGACCTTGGGAGATAGAACCTGGTGATTCTGTGTCAGCAGCTACACCATATTCTGGATATTAGGATAGCAACTTTTTGCATGGGACTAGGATTGAACAGCCTTCATAATATAAGTTGGGGAAATTTCTATGATGCTTTATTTTTCTTTTCTTTTTCTTTTTAGGCAATTGGGGTTAAGTGACTTGCCCAGGGTCACACAGCTAGTAAGTGTCAAATGTTTGATCTGAGGCCGGTTTTGAACTCAGGTACCCCTGACTTCAGGGCCGGTGCTCTATCCACTGCGCCACCTAACTGCCCCTATGATGCTGTCACAAGGCAGAGTTTCCAGGGGAGGCAGACCAGTGCTTCTTCCTCCATAACTTATGAAATGGTGCTAAAGCTTCTGGTAGCCTCACAGACACCTGGGAAAAAGTACAGTTACCCTCTGAAGCAGTGCCTACTCTTCATGAAACCAAGATGACGGAGTGACTAGGTGAACATAGAGCAGGGAAACTCCAGTGGTGAGAAAAGAGAGCAGAAGAGTTTAAAAAAAAGGCAATTAAATATTCATTGTGAATAATAAGAGTGGTGGTAAGGAAACTCACTCCTGGGGTTCAGGACCCTTGTGGGTGAGCTGGGGAGTGTTCAGAGGAGGGCAACCAAGATGGTAAAGAGCCTTGAATACATGACATCTGAGCAATAACTGAAGGAATTAGAGATGTTTAGACTGGAGAAGACAAGACTCATGATAGCTTTGGCTAACTTATTCATATGGTGATAAACTGTAAACATGTATTGCTGCTCTTGGTGAATAGTCAAGGGGAGGAATCAAGTGACTGATTTGGGTCCCTCCCAGGCTTAGAATTCTTTGAATAATTTGTCCTATGTTTTGCTCATTTTTCCTATTTGTCCCTTTTTTGACTATTGTTATTTCCTATAAAGTTCTGTTTGGACCACTGGGCTGTTTTCTGGTTTTTCTGAAACTTTGTTGCTCTGATTGACAAATAGGAAGCACTAGTAGATTCTGAATTATTGGAACTATAACCAAGTTGAGCTCACATACAGTGAGATTTCCTGCAGCCTCAGTTTCTTCATCTGAAAAAAATAGGAATATTTTATACCCACTTTCATATTTCAGCAGAGTTGCTAAGTTCAATAGAGTGAGTAATGTTTGAAAGAGGTTTGAAACTACTTGGAGAAAAGACACTCATTACTCTACATTATACCAGTTTCCCATTATCTAACAACATGGAGCTCTCAGCTCCCTCACTCTAATCCTTTCCAATTGGACTTTGCCATTGTGTTCATTGAACCACGTCCTTCTAAAAGAATCAGAAACACAAAATAAACTTCTGTTATCTGGCTCGAGTTCTCTGACAAATATCTCTCCTTTCCTATATAGAGACATAAGCCTCCAAAAAAGGAAAAATTAGGGTTAAAGTACAGTTTGTTGGAGAAATATTGAACCCAAGATGATGACAGACTGCTCAGTGGCAGTTCTGAAACTGCCTATATGCATCCTCATTCACCCTCTTGTTAAACATTGATACTTCATTGTACCTGTGATTTCAATAAAAAGAGTATTCTAGGGGGCAGCTAGGTGGCACACAGTGGATACAGCACCAGCCCTGGAGTCAAAGGACCTGAGTTCAAATGTGACCTTAGACACTTACTAGCTGTGTGACCCTGGGCAAGTCACTTTAAAAAAAAAGTATTCTGTCACAAGCCATGCACATCTTCTCTCTCTCACTTCAATCCAATTCATTTGAAAGTCACGGCATCACCTTCCTGATGTCGTGGTCCTGTTCGAGAAAGAAGGACAAACAACAACCTGTGAGTAATATGAGCTGCCCCACTGAGGACCCAACTGGCCAGTTCCAGTTGGGCAACGCAGCTCCTTTCCTACCTTCTTCCTTTCCTCTCTTCCTTCCTCTGTTCACATAGGCTATTTTACATATACATGTATATATATATATATAGCCTATGTGGACATATATATAGCACCTAGGGGTTCTCTGCCCAAAGAAATATAAATTTTGATGGCTGAAACCTCAAAAGATATCTTGGGGTTTACCTGCTGGATTTCCTTCTTAAGGATGGTGCCTTAAACCCAAATCACTCTGGCTCTTGTTAATTGGCTAACAATAGGTCCGGGTCCAAGCCCCCCACCCCCATTGTTTTATCCCTGGTGGCTCAGAGTGAATAGCAACTGTTTCTGTTTTGGCCAGAAACCCTGAGGGTCTTCCCCTTCCAGATGGCTATGGTTTTTTTGACTGAGTAAAAGGCCATTCTTTGCCTTATTTCTTACCTAGCTTTAATCACTGAATGGGTGTTGCCTCAGTGGAACTGAGACTTGGGAAAGACCTTAGCTTAAAAAGGCCAAGGTCTCCTACTGCATCCAGGACTATCTCTGGTCCTGTTGATCTATATCTTGCCACTGGGCCCGGATGGCACCAGAGGAGAAAGTGAGGCTGGTGACTTTGCACAGCCCTCCCTCACTTAAATCCAATTCACTTGCAAGTCATGGCATCACCCTCCTGACTTCATGGACCTCTTCGAGAATGAAGGACAAACAGCAACAACTCCTCATCCTATGCAACTCTTGTTCATGTTCTCCTTTAAATCCTCCGCTAGGACCCCTTCAACAAACTTGGAGATTTTGGCTATACCTCTTATATTGTATGGCTATCAATGGAGAATTAGGTCTATCCATCAGTTATCCCTTGATCTTGCTACGTAGCATATTGCCAACAAATAATTATGTAGGTAAAGCAGTTCAAGGAAATCATCAGAAAGACTACTGGTAAAGGAGATGGGCCAGTCACATAGCACAAATTCTTTAAAGTGATTATGGATCACATTTAAGATGTCCTCTAATATTCCAGGATCTGCTGAAATCACCTCATGTCATATGCAAATAAAAGCATCTGAAGGACCATTTAGATTGTAAACAGCACATTCCCCAAGATGGTGGCATACACCTTTGATGAGTATTGGTCTCCTTGTTGTAAGCTTTATTTGATAATAATAGAGTCTTTGCACGAAGTTTTTCCATTGTTACATCTGTCAAGGCAATGTACATTATTTCAACATACATGGATTCACCATCTTAGAGGAGATCCTACAAGGTAAAATTTTGCTCTACCGAATCAAATGTTGTTTATAAAATATTGAACAGAGATGCACAGCAGGTCTTGAATTCTCTTCCCCTTTCAGTCAATTGCTTCTCTGTAAAAAAGCATTCTAGAATTTCATCTGAAAAAGCCTGCTTGTTTGACCCACCTTGAGCAGCTGTTCTGTCTCCATTAGGTAGATCCTCCTCTATTTTAATCAATAATAAACAGTTATTAAACACCTTCTAAGTGCCAAACACCATACTAAGTACTGAGGATACAAAAGGAAGCAAAAAACAGTCTCTGCCCTCGGGGAACTCACAATCTCACTCTTTTCTTTCTCTTGTCCAATCTGGGAAAAATTAACCCTTTATAATTGTCATCTCCTAGGTAGATTCAACAATCTACATCTTCTCTTTCTCCTGAACTCCCACTACCCAATTTGAATTTGGTTTTTTCAGTCTTCATACTTGTTCTACACTTTTTCAAATAAAATGGTCCTTGAAGTAAATACCACTTTTGTTCCAATGGACTTCAATCCCAATAGCTTTGTCTCTTGAATTTTTGTTGCTCCCTCTTAAGATAGAAGGCATTTTATCCTTTCTGGACATTTTATTTCTATGTTTTTTGCCTCATTCCTAGCCTATTCAAAACTAACACTTTACTCCAACTCACAGATGTCTAGGGCAATGACAATTACAAATTTCTCTAAAGCCAAGGGACTCCTAATTAATGGGCCACTCCTTTGGGAGAAACCTTGAAGATTCATCATTTGCCCAATGACATTCCTTCACGACAATGTCCTGAAACTGACAATATATGTTCTCTATTAGCTTCGAAAACTCCCAATATGCCTGACCCTCATCAATGATAGACAGACATCTTTCATGTCCTTGCTCACCTTCAGATGGTTATTGTCATGTTCAGGGTAAAAGATCAACACCCAAATGATTCCTATACCATGAGTGAAGAGGAGTCAATTCATTCTCATTTCTATATGCCATTCCAGAAGATCCTGTAGCAATAACTACAGGCAGGTTATCAGTAGTTTTTCACCATTCCATTTTTTTTTAGACTCACCATTTTCCTTATTTGTACAAAATAGTGAATAGAATAATCATACCCTGACTGGGAAAAAATGGTAGTATAGGGTTTAAACAAGTCCTTCTGTCCTGAAGCATCTATTTTGAAGGCTTGGGACTAGCAGCTTTAGCCCCAGCATCTTTGGGTTTGGATTCACCAGGCTTAGCAGCCTTGGAATCACTGGGCTTTGTGACCTTGGGATCAGACTTGGCTGCCTTGGGATCAGACTTACTAACCTTGGTGGCAGACTTGGCAGCGTTGGGGTCAGTAGGCTTGGCAGCCTTGGCAGTCTTGGGGTCAGTGGTTCTGGCAACCTTAGAGTCAGGCTTTGTGATCCTGGGGCCTGGCCGTTTGATGCCCACTCTAGGACCTGGATGCTTGGTGGCCATCTTATGTCCAGCACACTGGGCACTGGCCTTGGGGATCTTGGGCCTGAGGAGCTTGGCCTTGGAGGCCTTGGTGCTCAGGGCCTTGATGGCCTCTGCTCGTGCTTTGATGGCTTTTGCGTTGTTGGCCTGCATCTTCTTCAGCCCCTTCTTGTTGTGTTTCTTGGCAAAGCGCATGTTTCTCAGAAACTTGGGGTCAACCCCTTTCAGAGACTCGTATCTCTGTGACCTAGGTTTCTTGATGCCGTTTCTGTGCCATTTTCGTGATTGGTTATGGGTGGTATGGTTGTTAGACTTAGCCATCTTTACACCGCAGCCTGCGCTAACAGGCACTCCACCAACCGAGAGAGAGAAAGCCACCATTCCATTTTTTTGAGACAAACCTTTAGGTAATGATGTAAGTTTTACAGGGCACTATAGAAAGTCCTTCCTCAAAATTATTTTTCCTAGTCTCCAGGGTAAAGCTAGAAATTGTTTTACTACCTCTGATACTGGGAAAGGTAGTGACAGGGTTGTTTTTTAAAAAAAAAGGAAGAAGAAGAAAAAACTGTTCCCCATAAAATTATGCTAATCAATAGGACTTTGAATTTATTCCAGACTGTAAGTAAATGATCTTTTTGGTGTGAAAAGTAAAGTTTGTAGTTTCCCATAATGGTCCTATAATGGTCATTGAAAGCAGGACATGATGGCCATCCCCTAAAATCCCTGCTACTGGGAGCCTAAGGCTAGTGAATCAAATAAGAGTATTTGAAGGACCACACCATCTCCCATTTGGACTCTGAACTGGACATTCTCTAAGATAGTGGCAAACACCACTGAGCTTGACAGTTCTGAGCTATAGTAGGGGTAAAGCTGATAAGGTCCACATTAAGTCTGTGATCACATTAAGTGAACCCTTGCGAGAAAGGAAGATGTTACCAGGCTACTGAAGGTAGGGAAAAGTGAATCTGGTCAGAAGTGGAGCAGGTCAAAGTTTCTGCACCAATCAATAGTATGACTACTGAGTTTATAAAATGGATGAGATAGGGAGACTCAGTTTTAAGAAAGAATAATAACATTTTGAAAGCTCTAAAGGAATTCTCCTGGGGCGGCCAGTTGCAAAATATCACAGCTTCACTCCAAGTTATTCACCTTTGAAAAGGGAATAGGCTTTAAACACCCAATCTATAAACATGGAGGGCTAGAATCAAAACCACCTAAAGTAAGAAAGAACAGAAATGGGGCCATTCTACCCATACTTTATAATGTCTTCCATACCCATCAGGCCCAGAAGCCTAGACAACTATATAAAAGTGAAACTAAAATCACACACAAAAAAATGTTTAAAATGGAGCCAGTCTTGAGATACAAGGCAAAAATGTTCCCTGGGACCTAGTGGCACTGTTCTTTCCAGCTGAGAAGATGTATTTGGATTAACTGTGATATCCATTCCCTTTGAAATTTGTGAGATTCCCTAGGAAATACTATCTCATAGGATAGAATCAATCTAGTAATTATCCTTCTGTATATGCCAGAGGAAGAAGGCTGGACTAAATGACTTCTAGAGATCATTTCCAGTGCTATGATTCTAGTTTATGGCCCTACAAACCCTAATTAGTGAGACTGAGCAGCTGCCACTGGGGCTTCATCCAGAAAAGTCTAATTCCCCAGGGTGGGTTGGAAGATGTCTTCTTTTGTATCCCCTTCTCCCCATGGAATCTAATGTAGTGCTTTGCCCGCAGTAAATACAAAATGCATTCTTATTAGTTACGTCCTAAGGAAAAAGAAACGCCAGAGTTTGGAGTCCTAGCCTTTGTCCAAACCAAATTGTATTTGTCCTCTATTTAGAGATATTTATCAGACAATAAGAAAATAACTTATTTCTACCAGGGATAAAATAGGCCCAATTCTAGCAGCAACCTCTACATGCAATTCAATTCAATATAATAAATATGTAATTATTAAGCCCTTACTATAGGCCAGGCATTGTGCTAGGCACTGAGAATACAAAGATAAAACAAAACAAAGACAGCCCCTTCCCTCAAAGGGTTGACCTTACCATGTGTGCCACCTTACACATATAAGTCAATACAAAGCCTCTACAGAGCCATAGGAAGTAATTTCTACAGAAAGAGATGGGTTGGAGAGTGCAGAGAGTGGTAGGAGAGATACCTTAGCAGACTCTGGACCCCAATCCCTACAGCCTACCCTTATGATCTCCCTTCCTTCCCCTCCTAATAATCTTCTAGGAGAAATAGCTGAAGGATGACTTATTTCTAAAAATTGAACCTTTTGAGGTCTACCTATGGAGGATTCAAAAATAGGTTTTCTCCAAGCTCTTACTAAAGAAATCAACTGGCTTATAATTTTGTTAGCATAGAGGGCTCCCTGCAGAGGATCAGAACCTGTCTATGACTAAACTGAAATCCTAGAGAGTTTCCTGAGGCATCTGAAGTTTAAGTAAATTGTCCAGGGTCTCACACACAAGTATCAGAGGGAGGATTTGAACATAGATCTCCATAGCTCCTCACCTGGAACTCTATAGGCCATACTGCCTCTATAAAATCAGGATACCTCAAAAAAAACAACTGCAAAACCTAAAATCATACTTCTTATTTACTTTAAGGACTAATTTTCTTGAATGGGAACTAAAGATAGACAGACTTTAGACCTTGCTAGCACAATATGTCAGTGAATTTTTTCATCTGAAGTGGGGAACAGAAAACTGCCTTTCCACCTTCAGCAATTTTCAACCACACAAAGGTTCTTAGAATAAAGCACATTCTCATCACTTGCGATGACCTCCTTGGTATGTGCATGCTTGGTAAGTAAACATCCCTTACGTACTGAACAAGTGATTACCTTGGGAGGGGACTCCTTTCTGACACTGCCTTCTCACCACCAAGTTAAAGAACATTTGCTCCTTCTACCTGTTGTTTAAGATACAAAAAGGTGCCCCATCTTGCTGCAACGGGGAGGGCATGGCTTCTCAGCATTCTGAGTTACAAACTGTGATCTGGAACATATTTTTCCATAGAAACAATGTCCTAAGAGGCTTTTAGGTTATATAGTACTACTATTGCCCAATTCAAATAGGCTTTTGTGGTCTATTCTAAGACCCTAACCACTATTTATAACACTGTCTCTATGGGAAATGTGTTTTAAGTTCCAAAAACTTTACTTAAAAACACACTTTTGGCACAGATCCAATTGGTAAATTGGGGACTTCTTGTACTCAATAGTTTACCCCACGTGTGGGATTATAGTATTAGGATTCTTGGTTGGTGATCTATGTAAGTTCAGAAAGTTTCAGATCTGTTTATAGCATAAAAAAAAAATTCTTTTCCCCCACTTCTTGAGGGCAGGGCACAACTTACAAATAAAAGATGAGAAATGTTTTCTGCCCTCTTCCTCTGTTTATACATTATTCCTTCTGAACCTGAATTTCAGAAAAATGGATTGTGTATCCTAATGGATTATGTATTTGTTTAATTTGTTAAATGGAAAGGGGAAAAAAAGCTTTTTCTATCAACCATCATTTTCTATCAACCATTTTCTCTGGCTATATTGCCCCAATGACTAGACCTCCAGAGCAATGAGCCAATACACAGCCTTGGTGCTACAGTTCTACTTAAAGAATGATTTGGAAGTAGAAGCAAACTTCTTCAGCCAATTTAGAAGCTACTGAGCCTCCTGTAACCTCCTTGGGGTCATTGAGAGCTGTTCTACATGCTGATTAATTCAATCAATTCAGTGAGCATTTATTAAGTAGCCACTATGATTGAGGTACAAGGATGATGGGGCCAGGCACTAGGATGATGAAGGGAAGACTGCCTGTGGTTGCTTTCATATATCTATATGGACATTTCATATCTCTCCCAAGAACCAAGTCAACAAACATTTATTAAGCATTTATTATGTGCCAGGCACTGTATTAAGCATTGGGCTTATAGAGAAAGGCAAAAACAGTCCATTCCCACAAGGAATTCAGAGTCTAATGAGGGAGACAACCTAAAAAAACCAATGTACAAACAGGACAAATACTGGATAAATAAGAGATAATCACAGAGGGAAGACATGACTGGAAAAAGCATCATGCAGAAGGTAGGATTTTGGCTGAAACTTCAAGTAGAGACATACTTTCTCCTCTATTCTTCCAAGCCCTGAAAATGTTATATTCATTTTCATTCACATAAATGAACCAATTTGAACCAGTTGTTCACCCTTAATAAGATTAGGCAAAGGGTGGTTGGAAGAAACTGGAGCTACTTTTTTTTTCATATAAGTCTACCAATTTGGTTCTTTTCTGAGCTACAGTGTACCTAGTTATTCTTGTCCTGAGGTCCTCCAAAGGAACATCAAAATGAGCTCAATCAATAAGGCTGATTACCTTATTTCCTAAAAGAACTGACCGGAACCAATCAATTCATTGTTTTTTCCTTGAGACTCTCTGGCCCTAGTAAAAAACTAGACATCATGTTATTGACCTGAAAGATCTAATAAAGAACCCCCACACACACCCCAAAATAAAATAAAAATGGAAACCTTCCAAGCACAACAATGTGGATGCCCTGAACTCCAGACATTTTTGGAACAATTATATTTTGGGACACAAGTGAAAAAAGAACCAGAGAAAACAGAAATCATATGTTAGGACTTTTAGACTTCAGCATCTTGCTGTGTTTTCCAGATGAGCTCACTTAACTCTGCTCATGCTGAGTAAATCTTTGGAGTTAGAGGTGACCGGGAAAGCAAAGGAATAGCACATTCTATTCCTGGATTGCATATTACTGTTCCATATGGGTGCTGAGCCAAAGCATATGGAGTTCCATCTGCAAGATGGGGCTGGCTGGGCCTCATGGATGGTTTTTAACGTAAGTCAATTCAGCCAGATTTGGTCAGCATCCAAACAGAAAAGAAAGCCAATGATTCAAATATTGTGTAAAACCATTGAAATTAATGGCACAAAACAACACTCATTTGTATCCAGTTTAATTTTAAAGATGTCTGCTTGATGTACAATAATGAATTAGCTATGGGAGTGTTTGGGCTGTGTGTTCAACAGTCTCCTTGAATGAATAATACATTCTTTGTGGGGGGGTTCCCCCCATTCAGGCCACTCTTTGTCAAATTATTTTGTGCTATTATTCCCCAGGAAATACACTAAGCCCTTCAGTTTCAATAATGAACCATTTACACTCCATCTGAAACCAAATTTCAAGAGGCCCTCAGCATCCCATTAGACAAGACCAATCACTACTCCTCAAGTTTAAACAGGGAATAAGAGTTCAATAAAATGTCCTTAAAAACCTCCCTGACTCAGCAGGCCTGGTAAGGAAAGACAGACATAAATGTTACCC